TAATAAATAATAAGATGATGATGATGATGACGATGTAAGGANCTGTGGCAATGTTTATGATGACGACGAAGATAATTATTACAGTTATTATTATTATAAATTACAATAAATTTTATTTATATTATAATAATTATCATGAATTATAATTAATTATATTTAATTATAATTAGAGATAATATCTGCCCGGAGCATGCTGTGAACGAACTCCACAACTTCACCATGGCAAGTTTTGGCCGACCATCCATCTGTGACGTCTGCCGGAAGTTGCTGAGGTCATCGTCATCATCATCATCATCATCGTTATCATCATCATCATCATCATCATCATCATCATCATCATCATCGTCGTCGTCATCATTATTATCATTATTTTTATTATTATTATTGCTTACAGGGGCGTGTTTTACCAGGGGTACAGGTGTAGTAGTAAGTTTATTTTTAAAATTCCTTCTATTCATTCATTTGTACGTTCGTTCTTTCAATCATTCATTCATTCATTCATTTATCCATGCATCAAATATTTCAATTTGTCACGCATTCATACTTTTGTTCATTCATTTGTTCGTTCGTTCATTCATTCATTTATTCAGAAACAAAAATGGCCGTACACAAAGGCTGTATTGAGGGAGCCAAAGAAATGACAGGTTCGTTTCTTTGCCGGATGAAAGAATGAATTCACACAGAAATGACTGAATAAAGGAATGAATATGTTGAAGAAATGAGAAAATTAATCTGGTGAATGCTATTCAAAATGAGTGATCATGCAGATGAATTAGGATGGTGATGATGATGAAGACGATTATGATAATGATGATGAAGACGCCAATGATGATGATGATGATGGTAATAAATTATGTTAATTTTATGTTAATTTCCAGGCCCACCGACCTGCGTGCTCCCTCCAAAGTCCTTTAGAGTCGCCAACCTCTCCAGATCAACTTCATCCGTGACGTTTGCAGGTGATGATGATGGTGGTGATAATGATGATGATGGCGGTGATAATGATGATGGTTGTGATGATGATGGCCGTGATGTTGGTGATGATGATTGTGATAGTACATACGTACATACATACATTATACATACGTATATACATACATACACACACATACATACATACACACACACACACACAGCAAAAGTTAAAGCAACACAACCGTACACTGGCATCTCACCATCGACCCCACAAAGCCTGACAAACATACCCCCCCTAATGTTCGCCCTGAATGACGTCATCAGGGTAGTTTCATCCCCACAGGGCGATAACGGGGAGTGGTTTGAGGTCTGGGTTATTTGTTTGTTATTCTATGTTATTCTTCAAATTCTTACACCATTATAAACTTTGCTTTCCCGCCAAATTTGAACGCCATTTGTAAACTTGCTTCTAAGCAAGCTACTTCTAGGACCACCACATGCGACTTTGTGGTCAGAACTGACTCCAACTTTTTTATCTCCTATTATTACTGACCTACTGATGCAGTCATTGCATCTAGTTTTAAGATAACAGGCAAAGATTTAACTAGCCAATTAATTAATTAATTAATTAATTAATTAATTGTATTATTAATTATTATTAATTAATTATATAATTTATTGGTTTATTTAATGCAGTCATTGCATTTTGTTTTAAGATAACAGGCAGAGATTTAACTAGCCAATTAATTAATTAACTAATTAATTGATTATTTGTATTATTAATTATTATTACTAATTAATTATATAATTTATTGGTTTTCTAAATTATTATTTCATTCTCCATCTTCTTATGCTTTTACGTTCTCACTCCTTTGGCTAATTTTCGTCATTCTATAGCTATTGCGTCGTATCACGAATCAGCCCTGAATAACAACAACAACAACAATAGCAAGAACAACATGTTGTAATAGTTTCTAAGTTCGGCCGGATTGTGATTTTTAAAGAATAATAATAATAAGAATAAGAAGAAGAAAAAGAAGAAGATGAAGAAAGAGAAAATTTCATAATTTGATCGTTCGATAATGAGATAAAAAAAATTCAAAAACCTGACGAGCAAGCAGTCCAGAGCAGACGCTAATGATGGATCTCGCTAGAGGCCGTAGATTCTTCCCCAAACTAAAAAAT